TTTTAAGTGGGAGAACTTGCACAATTGGTGGCTGACTAAATACTTTTTTGCCCCACTGTATAGTCTGTTAATCCCCATCCAGACCCTAACAGCTTACCCTGAGATAAGAATCCACCACATCTCCTGTTTAGCCCAGGGACAAGATCTACAACTATCATCTGCATACCAATGATACGTGACCCAATGCCAGAGGATGACCTCACACAACAACTTCCTGTAGATATTAAATAATTTTCAACCCTGTGCCACCCTGTAATAAGGAGGCCTAGGGTGTGATCTCTTCCCTCCTACTACTGTTGACTGGAACCTCCCTTTCAGGAAGGAGGAAAGTAACTGCAAAATAGTGCCTCCAACTCCCAACCCTCAGAAGGCTGTAAGGTACAATTTATAATATCAGAAGTTCCAGCACGTGAGAGTTCCAGCAAAACCAGATCAGTTGTATTTCCACTGGCCTGCTGTTGCCACAAGTCACCTACAAGAGTGATCAATGTGGTCTCAGTACCATGCCCAGGCCTGAAACCTGACTGGGAGAGATCCAAATAATCCACTTCCCCCAGGGCTCTTTGCAGTTCTAGACTGACTACCTTCTCCACAATCTTTCCTGAAAAGAAGTAGTAGTTATCCATTATTGCTGGATCAAGTGATTGCTTCTTGAGGAGGGGCCACACCAAGTCCTTCAAGGCAGGTATTACTACCCCATCTCTCCAGGATGCATTAACTACTTTCCAAGCAGCCCCTCCCTATTGCTTCCTTGGAGACTTTCATAAATCAGGAAGGGCAGGAGTCCAAACCACAGGTGGCCAGGCTAACATCACAAAGCACCCTGTCCACTTCCTCAGGATTAGAGTAATAAATTTAAACTCCTCCCAGATAACCTTGAAAGATGCAGCCCCAGTCATGTCAGATGGCATCTAATTCCAAGTGGACCTGAACAATTTTATCTTCCAAATGTCTTCAAAACTCCTCACAGTGGCACAGAGGTCCTCTTCAATTGAACAACAGATTGGGCAGGCCACACAACTCTTAGCTCAAATTCTTCACCTCAGTGTTTTGATGTTTAATATTTCTACTTAGATTCTAATAAGTAGGTAGTTATTTGCATCTTTATTTATACATTCATTGTATACATGTGCAGTTTAGTGTATACACAATTGTCTTAGCCTTGGATAGAATATTTGGATTTTCTGAGACCAGGATTGGAAATGTAATGTGAAAATTATATGCCAAGGATCAGCCGTATCTTTGGTATAATAACCTGGTCCAATTATTCCCTGAAATCCCACAAACTGCCAAAATTTCATAAGTTCTTATATTCTCACTTTGACCTCATGTTAAGGTGCAGATCTCGCAGAACCATCTCACAACATCTTGGGTAATATTTGATGACTTTGCAACATTTTGACCATTATTGTAATTTAATCTGGAGGGTTGTGGGCTCTTTGTTAGCTTAAATTAAAGCAATCTCCCCATAGTAAGCAAAATGAGTCTTGAATATTAAAAGAAACACTATCTTATTAACTCCCTTTTGAATACTTGCTCAGCCAATAACTTGGGCAGGGTTTTAGTACAGAAGGAGCACAGAAATGTGCACACAGCTGCTACCTCATTTGCAATGAAGAAACACATTAGTATTTAAAAACTTGACTTTAGACAGATTTCACTTCACCTCTAAAGGTTGAGAATCCTTTAAAAAGCCTCTGAGCATTATCCTGTCAAAGAGTAGCCCTATTGATTTTAGTGTGAGAGTTTAAAATACAATCTTTTCTTCCACATCCTTTCTCTTCTGCACTGAATTCCATGGAAGTTAAATACTTCTAATTTGCGTTTCTACTTGCACCCATGCTTCAGGTCCTTCTATGAAACAATGGCATCTAGTGGGACCTAGGAAGCGTGCCTACTCTGTTACAGCACTGCCCTGTGGAATAGCATTCCCCGTACCCAAAGATTTGGATGACCCTGCCCTTGTTGGCCTTCCAATAGGCCATGAAAACCTGTTTTGGTTTATACATATATATGTATGTATGTATGTATGTATGTATGTATGTATAAACCAAAACGGGTTTTCATATACAGTATATATATATTTCTTGGAGGGAATATGCTGTGGTTGCCTCACTTACTCTGTTCTGTATAAGGTGCTTGCTTTGTTTTGTTTTGGGTTCTTTTGTTTTTATGTTTTTAACCATATGTAAATTGCCCAAAGTCACTACAGGTAGTCCTTGCTTATTAACTACAATTGGGACCGGCCGTGGTTGCTAAGCAAAAAAAATCACATGACCATGCCAGACTTACAATGTCACTTCCACTTCTGTCATTATCATTAAGCGAATCGCTGTGGTCGTTAAGCAAGACATCACATGACCGCAATTTGCCATTTCACTTCTGCGTTGTCCATTAATTCTGCTTGTTGGAAGCCAGTTGTGAAACTCACAAATGGCAATCACATGACCGCAGGATGCTTTGATGGTTGTAAATGTGAACTGGTTGCAAAACGCCCAAATGGCGATCACATGACCAGGGACACTGCAATGGCCATAAATGAGAGGATTGGTCACAAAGCTTTTTTTTTTTTCAACCATAACTCTTTGGGCACTAAACAAGGCAGTCAATAAGTGAGGAGTACCTGTATTGCAAGTTGGGTGGCCATATAAATCATATAAACAAACAAACAAACAGATTGTTTGAGTTGAGTTTTAAATATTGATAAAATTCTTTTCTGGACTTCCATTATTACCATTAATTAATTAATGGTCCATTAATACTTGACACATTTTTGTATTTTAAATGTTAGAGATAAGAGAACATTCTCAAATGCGGCAGATAAAGGACAGAATTGTCCAACCTGAAGGGTGATATCAAAATGATGAAATGGAGGCCATGACATGTCTCATCATTGCACATAAATACATAAGGGCAGAGCTTGTGTTGCAATGCACATTTTGTCCCTTGTCCTCTGCAGACATTTGTGCACGTGCTCAGTGGCCACCATGCTTGGGGCAGTCTCTGTTGTCAGGGATGCATCACAGGGAAGCACCTGCAGCTTCCAGTGAAAGTCCCTGAATGCCCATACCTTCTTTACGTTCCCTTCCTTCTTTAATTTATTTCTTTTTTTTCCCCTGTGAATCCCAGGAAGAGAGAAAGGTTCCTCCGCCTGTACCAAAGAAGCCCCCTAAAGGAAAATTCCCCATTACACGAGAAAAGTCTTTGGATCTGCCTGACAGACAGCGCCAAGAGGCTCGAAGACGGCTCATGGCTGCTAAGAGGGCCGCCTCTTTTCGGCAAAATTCAGCTACCGAGCGTGCAGACAGCATTGAGATCTATATTCCAGAAGCCCAAACGAGGCTTTAAAGACCAACATGCTGCATCGTTTCTTCCTCTTTTTTAAGCCAACGAAGGAACCAAGCAAGTGCTTGTATAGTTTGTCTCCTCCCTGCTACTTTTTCTCACCGCTCCTCCCCCCGCACCGCCCCACGGCCCGTGGCGTTGTCTCCTTTGTGCCACGCGCACAACGGAATGCGTTTTATGTCCTCGGAAGTTGCTGAGCCCATTGCAAGAATTACTGCTCTTTTCTTTTTGTATTATTAGGATCAGACTACACAGTCAGCTCCAATGCATAGGGCTTGTTGAGACCTTACTGATAAAATTACGTTCTCAGAGGACAACAGGAAACACCTCTTGAGATGGAACCCAGCTTACTTTTTTGGTTATTTATATTTTTATAAATGATGTGATAACTAGGAATAAGAAAAACAAACTTTTAATTGGGTGCATCTCTCCATTCACCAGAGGCATTAGCTAATCCAAGTAGAAGGTGCTACAAACGTAAAGTGCAAGAAAAGAAAGAATCCATTTCTCCCCCCCTCCCCTCCCCCTCACTTCCAGCTCCTGTTTCTTTGCTTTGGACCTGATTACATTTTCTGCCCATGTGCTCAGCAATTCTGCTTCTCTTGGTTACTGCAAACTAGCACTAGGTCTCTCATCACATCTCACACTGAGTTTCTGGAGATGAACAGAAATATCCAGCCATTAAACTCCAAAATCCATCCAGAACAGAGAAGCATGGGAATCATTTCAAACTGGGAAAGTCTAGCCCTGAGAGAAGTGTCCCCTTGGACACACATCCAGAAATCTGCAAAGGAAAAATGCAAAGGAACTTGAAGAAAGAGGAAAAAGGAAAGCCTTAAGAATTTCGATCATTTGTAGCAAGATGTGAAAGCTCTATTTGCTCTTTTGGAACATTCATTACGTTTCAAACAGTTATTTTATGTTGTACTTATTTCATTTACGAACACTTTTTTTTAATTTGAAAAGCGATGCTACACGTAATATTTGAAGTTTCAAAATGCTAGATCAATTGAGTTTTCAGGGTATCCTTTCAAACAAAAAACAAAACACAAAAAAACCTTTGCTTGTTTAAAATACCAGTTGTGATGTTGTAACCAGTTTAAGAAATATGAATGTGAGTGGTAAGTATATCTCAGTTTAAATGGTAATCTTAAGGTAAAAAAGGTGAACTGTGGTTTACATTTGTAATTTTTTTTTCCAGAATTCTTTTTTCCTATGCAGTATGAATTAAAGATAAGAAAAAGTCTCTTGATTGTTTCAGACATAAAGAACATGTTTTAAAAGATGTGTGGCTTCTAACGGTAGAATGTAAGGAAAGTAGCATGTTTCCAAGTCCTTGATCAACATCACAGCAAAAGCTAGAAATTACACAGAAGTTCAACAAATTCTGAAAATAATGGGTTACTGTTTTTGCCTTCTCAAAGGCTGTGATCCAAGTTTTTGAATGTTTTCAGGTGAAGATACAAGAAAACATATCCCTCCACTATTGAAGTCAGAATTCTGAGTAATACAAAATATTAGAACTGAGACAAATTTCTGTTAAATGTATTTAGCCATAGACAGAACCGCTATTTAAACTAGCCTACAGCACTTTGATTCTTCACCTTGATGAGCACTTTAAATATGTACTTTGCAAGCCCTTCAGCTTGTCACGTGACTGAAAATGCTAGAAGTTTTAACAGCATTCCCCAAGCAGGTGCCCTCCATACATGGTGAACTACATCTCCCATCATGCTAGTTTGCATGAACAATAGCAGTGTTATATAAGAATTGTACAAAAGATGGGGAAGTTTAGTCCTAATGTATCTCAAGAGCACACGTTGGAGAATGCTGTTGTAGGAAGTTAAGAAAGCATTAGGTTTTCCATACCCCATCCCTCTTTCTTCCAATATATTTTGTTAAGCATGCATTCTGTTTTAGGACAAAGCTGATATAAGCATGTTTAGCTTCAAGATATGAATCTTTAGAGTTGAATGTTTGAGAAGGAGGGAACACTGTAAATTGAGCCTGATCTCTTATGTAGAGTTTACCAAATAGCCTTAAACTGCATTTGGAAGCAAAAAAAAAAAAAAAA